TATAATGTATTTTGGCATCTACTGCACTAGCTTCATCGCGTGATATACACACGCACAACACACTCTTCAATGCAGCTTCGTGGTTCCTGGCTAAACACACATACAGGCTATCGTCAGGTATTATGATCTACGTAAACTGTTACACTGTGTTCAGTATGCCTTAACCTGTGAGGGATATAAGTGTACAACTGTATTACTTAAACCAATTATTATGACAGAATATTGTTAAAACTACTACAATGATATAAAAAGGTGCTCGCGTGCTGTGACACACCTCTTTTTCCTTCTTTCTGTAAGGGTGTGTATTTGATGTGTTCTGGTTACGTGCATTTAGGTCGTCTATGCATGTGTGACTATGGTACGCGGCGAGAGACAAGAGACAAATAAAATGAGGGAAGTTTGGCGAGACGAAACACGAGGCGAGACGTGTGAAGAAGCAAGCCACACATAACATTTATCAAGTCCAGCTAAAATCAAATAAAGTTGGCCCTGTGTCTAAGCCATGGAAGAGTAAAGGGGCGTGGAAGTAAAGCTCCACTACACAACATGAACGTGAATGGTCGGTTACGTGTTCTGTCCGCTTGAATCTCAGGGAGCACCTGACACCCGTAAGATAGGAAGTTGTGTGTCTCCCAAATTGTTCGGAAACTATCAACTATTTCACCTACAAGGAAACTGCAGGATACTGGGTGAAGGTATCGTTCAAGATTTATGGTATGAAGGTACTAGGTTAGAATTGCAGCAGTGTTACTAGCTATCTAGGCGAAGCAGTAACAGTAACTTCAGACAGATCAGGACCTCTTCTTTCCATATCCTCATAAATTTACTTACTTACTTACTTACTTACTAACTCATGTAGTTGATCCCTTCTTGAGGAGCCGCCAATTCTGCAGCTACTCAAGAATTTCGCATTCCTCTTTGGAACCTGAAGATTCATTACTGTGTTCATAAGAGCCATCCACTTGTCCATATCCTAAGCCAGAACAATCCAATCAATACCATCCCAATCTATCTCTCTAAGATCCATTTTAATATTACCAACCCACCTATGCCTTGGTTTCCCCAGTGGTCTCTTTACTTCTGGCTTTCCCACCAATATCCTATATGCATTCCTCTTCTCCCCCATTCGTGCTACATGCCCTGCCCACCTCATCCTCCTTGACTGGATCATTCTAATTATACTTGGAGAAGAGTACAAGTTATGAAGCGCTTCATTATGCAGTTTTCTCCAACCTCCTGTCACTTCATCTCTCTTCGGTGCAAATATTCTCCTCAACACCCTGTTCTCAAACACCCTCAGTCTATGTTCCTCCCTTAATGTCAGATTCAAAGTTTCACGCCCATACAGAACCACAGGAAAAATTATATAACATTCTGTTGTAACTGGGGTAAAATGACGCAACAAGACATTTTGGATATTAACTGAAAGGTACACGAATCTGCCCTTAAAGGCTTATATAAAGTCTGACTTCCATTGTTCCGACCGTTAAAAAACTTGACATGGTTCGGAAAATTTTAAAATTTCATCAAAATCAGTCCAAAGGATCTCGAGTTACGAGACGAACAAGCATAAAAATAGTTTCTATTTAGCCCGGATTTTTTTCTCTGCGGTTTACTGAAGGACAGGGTGTATGCAAACAAACCACGTACGTTACAGGATTTAAAGGACAACATTTCGGCTGAAATCAGGAACATCACTGAAGAAACACTGCAGCGAGTCACGGCGAATATGCAAACGCGGGTGGAGGCGTGCCTACTTCAAAACGGCGGACACTTTCAACACCTGCTCTGATCACGGCACACAATCCAAGATAAGATATATGTAAATTAATTTAATATCTGTATGGTATATTTTATATTACAGCTCATTTCGTCGGGCCGGTTCTATATGAATCACCCTGTATATCCAAAACTTAAGTACACGAGCAAGATGATACAGCAGTAACAATCTAGTCTTGTATTCTGGAAGTACTCGGTTAGAATCTCGGCCGGTACAGCGTTTACCCCAAGTTTTATAGTTAGTGTCAGTCCCTGCAGACAAATACCGAGATAATACCCCGATCAGACCACATCTTCATCCCAAATCATTTCCAATTCATGAACAGTCCCAGCATTTGATGCCATAGAGTCTACACATCGACAGCGTCGTTAAACAATCCTCAAATGAAAGCTTATGGAAAAAACTGCACGTATATCGTAGATTAAATTTGTGTTTCAGAGTTCTTTATTTTTCTTCCAAACATAATTTCAGCACAGAATTACTGAGTTTTTGAGCTTTTTCCATCGTCCGGAATGCTAGGACACGACGTTTCAGAAACTGGATCTGTTTCCATCTTCAGGTGAGAAAGGAAGACACCTACTCAGTTGGGCCCCTTAGAAAGAGCTAGAATGAGATTAGCTCTTTCTAAGGGGCCCCAGTGACAGGGTGGCCCAGTTATACACCCAAGCACTCGGTTCCATTTCTATCGTCTTGCAGGGCTACGATGGAGTTATTCTACCCCGCCTATCACCTGATGGTATTACTGCTCAATGCAGGATCTCAGCAATTTGGGGGTTAGGAAGTCTCTTAAAACGTGTAACTTTTATCTACAAAGGAATATAACAACACGACCGCAGCAGGAAACATCTCCGATGTGTCAGCCAGTCATTAATGTGCGCAACAGAATGAACTGGAGAAGATATAAAAGAAATCTGTAGTTGCCCAATTTGAGACATTATCCCGACATTTGCTTGGACCGTCTGAGGAAAACCACTAAGAATGTCAATGGTTTGTTTCCATGCACATTCTAATAGCACTTATTCATACGACTTTCTGCAAGGGTCGAGCATTTGTGGCTTCGTCTACCGGTAGAGGTTCAATATCCGAGACACTGATGTGGCAGTCTGCCACAATCTGAGGTTCAGCGAGCCTATAGTGGGGAAGGGTGAAGTGCTAATGCTGTTTCTCCAGTTCTTACAATCGATATCGTACTAACGTGAACAGGACTCCGCCCTGAAAAATCCACAGCAGGCCACGCCCTGTTCGGCTGTCTAACAGTTACCGCAGAGATGTCCTCAGGTAACTCCTGACAGCTGTCTAACTGTACGCTGGGTTCCACGTCTCAATTTACATTCACATTCCGAATGAAATAAGAACCTCAGTTTAAAAGGTTAAGTTACCAAACGTAACGGCTTCGTATTTGGTAGGTTCTGGGTTCAAGTCTTGGCTCGAAGACCGCATATCTTGATATAGAATTTTCATGGTTTTTCTCAGTTCCTCTAAGCCAGTGAATCTCAACTGATGTGCTCAACACTACTGAGACGAAAGAATGTGAAGAGAATATATACAATAGGTTACGGAAACTAGAAAATCGACAATTTTTAAGATCATATTATTACCGGCAATTGAATATATTACACATTTCCATGAAAGTATAGCGATAAACTTGTATCTGAAATCTAGAAGCAGAAATTAGTAAGAACCGTAGCAACAGTTGGTGGCGGTGTTACAAGAGCGACGAGGGTACATCGCCCCAGTCATTGCCGCAAACCAATTCGTCCGGACTCCGCTTTACGAATCGAGGGGGCACCATAATATAAAGTCTGGAAACTACTGCATTTGCATAAGCTTTTTAAATTCATATTTGTAGCAAAACTTTATCATACTTCCGTTTTTACGATAATTTTATATTTTTATACAATACATTACATTACAAACATAAAAAATACATATACTCTTACTATTTGGTCGCGCCATAGCTCAATAGTTGCTGGCTTTCCACCGCGGCGGCCCGGGTTAGATCCCGGGTCTGGTCAAGTGCGATTTGTGGTGGACAAAGTGGCGCTGGGGCAGGTTTTCTCCGAGTACTTGTAGTTATCTATTCAAATTCTAGTGTGGCGAAATAAAATTAAAATACAAGCACCAAAAGCTTTGGAATCGCTTCTTTAGATAGACAAAAGGGCATTACACTAGTTCGAGCCATACCTGTTTCCTTCCATGTCATTTCCAATTCTTTACTCACTAACCAACCCGTTATTCAACGTCGTATGATCTAAGCACTGAAAGCATAATTAATTAAATCACAGATGAATGAAAGAAATAAGGCTAATTACAATGATACGAAGGACATCCAGAGAATCCTATTCCAAGCCAGTTATAACCATCAAGTTCAAGGTCTTCTGACGATGATATGACATTTTATTATGACTATGCTTTTGTACAGCGTCCATCGTCTTAACTTCCTGAAATTGGCTACATTTCCTTCACCAGGTGAACAACGAACACGTTCTGCAAGGTCCCTGGAAGTGCCAGTCAATGGTTTTATAAGAGCTTTTTTATTGCTAGTGGGGTGGGACTAAGTCCCTTGTACTGCAGTCACTTCTGGCCTATTGTACCAGCCCCAGATGATAGGTGAGGGTGATTGGGGAGCAATTGGTGGAATGAAGATTGACAACGGAAACCGTAGTACTCGGAGAAAACCTGCCCAGCGCCACTTTGTCCACCACAAATCCCACTTGCCCAGACCCGGGATCGAACCCGGGCAGCCGCGGTGGGAAGCCAGCGACTAACCGCTTGAGCTATGGCGCGGCCTTAGAACAGCTTTACTCAAAGAGCCAGAGGACTATGTTGTTTGTTCCAGTGATGACAGGAATATAGCCAGTTTTTGAAACATGGAGGTTTTAAAAAAGTGGGAGGATACGTTCAAAAGAATAAGATTTGATCAATTATATCCAGTTCAAAAATCCATACCCTACTCTTCAAAGACGCATTTTAATATTATCCTGCAATATACGCCTAAGTCCCTTAAGTCGCATCTTCGTTTGAGGGTTTCCAACTCCAGTCTCGTGTACAGTTCCACCGTGCATGCTACATGTCCCGCTCACACCTATCTGAACACCGCCCATGGTCATACCTAGTCCATATCTGGCATACGTCTGTTCTTTATACTACACTTGTTTCATTATGTATACAAGAACTGGGCAAGTCTAAGGGTACAGTAACTCATGTGTTTGTTGTTTACCTTCGTCCAGCAGCAGCGTCCTCACGACCCTAATGTAGGGCCTGCCCTTCTGCTTGTAGTCCCTGGCTACATAGTACAGGAAACGAGACCATTCACCACGGTCCTCGTAGTGATCGCCGACATAGCTGCACATTGGGACGACAGCGGGGGTCGCGGCTGAGGGTTCATCGTCACTCATAGCACATTAAGGCAACTGACTCCCTAACCCAACTGCCGGCCAGAACCATCTTCAGTGCCAACGAAGGTTCTGATAGAAAATTATCTTGTCCTTAACCGTTATCTGCACCTTTATCGCACATATCTCCGATCCACATCACTTACTTTCGAAGTCCTTTAGGTTTCTTTCACTCGTCTCCTCTAACAAACGCTTCTCATCCTTTCCCAAGGTGCCACTATTTAAAAAATTCACTTTGACGTACTCTACCTATGGGATGATTGGCAGCGGTACAAAAGAGACACACTTCACGATTCTTCGCACCGCTTGACTTAAACAACGCTAATGACTATGACGGATGGGAATTTTCACTTCTTCCCTGTTCAGTCACACCTGATAGTCAGCAGACACAGTTCCCTGGGGTCACGATTTCACAGCAGGACCCAACGTCATTAGTTCTTGTTCACCGTAACTTTACTTACACGTGAGAGCCAGCTCCCAAACACCAGTAATTCGTTCTCATTGCAATCTTATTTGCACTTGACACCCAGTAGATGGGTTCTTGGTATCAAGATTTGACAGCAGAATCCAACACCAGCAACTCCTGTTCATATTAATCTTAGTTACACTTTGAGAGTCAATGGAAACAGTTCCTTGGAGTCGCGAACTGACAACATAACACAACAGCAGCAACTCCTGTTCATAGTAATCTTAGTTACACTTTGAGAGTCAATGGAAACAGTTCCTTGGAGTCGCGAACTGACAACATAACACAACAGCAGCAACTCCTGTTCATAGTAATCTTAGTTACACTTTGAGAGTCAATGGAAACAGTTCCTTGGAGTCGCGAACTGACAACATAACACAACAGCAGCAACTCCTGTTCATAGTAATCTTAGTTACACTTTGAGAGTCAATGGAAACAGTTCCTTGGAGTCGCGAACTGACAACATAACACAACAGCAGCAACTCCTGTTCATAGTAATCTTAGTTACACTTTGAGAGTCAATGGAAACAGTTCCTTGGAGTCACGAACTGACAACATAACACAACACCAGCAACTCCTGCTCACTGCCATCTTATTTGCAATTTATGTCCAATACACGGTTCTTTGGGGTCGTGATTTGAGAGCAGAACCCAACACCAGTAATTGGTGCCCAGTGCAGTCTTAGTTGCACTTAACAGCCAGCAGATACAGGTTATTTCATTGCGGAACTGGACCCCAGTAACTCCCTGATCACCTTCGAGACACGGCAACTAACTGGCAAGCAAGCAGCACAGCACGTGTTCCTGTATCACAACGGACACTCCTCCCCCTCACGAGTTCCTTCACTTTCACACCTCTCACTTTATAGGCGCATCTGTTAAATTCCATGCAGAAGAAAGAAGAACACGTCTTTCACGAGCTTCGATTTACACGGCCAGTTCTTTAAAGCAATACAGCAGGGCGATCATCTAGAAAATGCCATAGCTATAGACAAGCCCAGAAAAAATGTGGGGAAATAGTACATACTCGAATTTCAGTATGTATATTAATCAAAAACGTCTCTGATATTCTCTATTTCATTTGTCTCGATTATCCTTTACTACAGATCTTATTCTTCCAATGGCTCTTCCAGCCCATTCAGGGCCCTGGCCTCTTATTCAGTAAAACAAATTAAAAAAGTAAAGCTATCCCTGTACCAGGCCGTGAAGGCTCATAGGGTTGTGAGACGTTGAGGGTCCCACATTATCTAGACAATCGGCTCAAAGATGGCGGTAAGGTTGTCAGCCTTACGCGCCGCGCGCTTTGCTCCCAAGGAAAATTATTAGTTAATTCCTGGTACTCATTTCTGTTAGAGGCTGAGTGAACCCCAGGGCCGTAGTGCGGCTGGAAGGATTAGGTCAAATGAAAAAAATCCAACGACCTCATCGGGACTTGAACCGTGACCTTCCGGCTTGTAGCATAGCCCCTCAACTAACTACACTACCGCGTGCTCCCCGCCCCCCTCTTATTCAGTTCTGTAACAATTTTTCACAGATGGTAGGACTCTTTGGACCAGTGATCAGCTTGTCGCAAGGCCTCTAGCTGAACACAAAATAAACACATACATATACCAAACACCCATGACTTAAGTGAGATTCGAACCAACGATCCCGGCTTCCGAGGGACCGAAGATAGTCCATGTCTTAGACTGTCGGCAACCGTGACCGGCCAGGATTTTTTTTTTTTCCACTGGCTCTACAGCCCCCTTGGGCCCTGGCCTCTGATTTTTCAGTTCCATGAACATTTTACAGACGGTAGGACTCTTGGACGAGTGATCAGCTGGTTGCAAGGTATCTACCTAAGCCAGGGACAACATAAACAGAATAAAGGCATACACACCAAACGTCCATGTCTCGGAGTATGATTCGAACCCACGATCCCAGCGTCCGAGCAAGCGAAGACAGTTCATGCCTTAGATGGCGCAGTTAGTGCGACCGGCCATTTCCTACGGATATACGTGGCCGCGCCATAGCTCAAGCGGTTAGTCGCTGGCTTCCCACCGCGGCGGCTCGGGTTCGATCCCGGGTCTGATCAAGTGGGATTTGTGGTTGGGATTTGTGGTGGACATAGTGGCGCTGGGGCAGGTTTTCTCCGAGTATTTCGGTTTCCCCTGCCAATCTTCATTCCACCAACTGCTCCACAATCACCCTCACCTATCATCTGGGGCTGGTACAATAGGCCAGAAGTGGCCGCAGTACAAGGGGCTTAGTCCCACCCCACTAGCAATAAAAATATACTATGGATATAAACCTATTACTACAAGCTAATGAGATTACGGAAACCCTACTGGACGTCGTGGTTGAGTGGCTAGCATTCCTGTTACGCATTCGGGAGGCCCAACTTCAAAAATCGCCTTGAAGACCTGCTGTCCTGAGGGTTCTGATGGCAGTCCTCAGCTCCTCCGGGAAAATTCTGGAATAATAGGCCTACCTCAAACTAGACAACCTTCCTTACATATTTCCAATTCATAGTCCAGTTAACCTATCGTTCGCTCTACTGACAATGTTGTTAAATAAACCGTGTACGCATACATAAAAATAAAGACACACAACGAGGTCATAAACCGTTCATTCTCGCAGGCATACTGGGGACCTTATCGGGACGTAGAGTTTCTGATTAGCACGAATTTGTTGCAAGTTAGCTCAGTCGGTGTAGTGATTACGGCACAGGCTGAATTGCTGAGGGATCGTGGTTCGATTCCAGACAGGGTCTCCACAGCGTCCAGTCCGGCTCTGGAACTCAACCAGATTCCTATCCAATGAACGCCGGGGTTTCTTTCCTCGGGGAGTAAAGGTGACCGCTACCACCTGCAGCTGAGGTTAAGAATGCATGGAGCTACACCTCCATTCCCCCTATATCTTCATGGTGTGGCACTTAATTAAGCATTGGGACAACTGTACGCCTTTATATTTACGAATTTGCTGTGGTACTGTAAGCCGTTTTTCAGATAACTTGATTTCCATGAAGAATGGGGAGCATACTGAACCGATATCGACCATACTCAAATACAGCCTTCAAGTGTTACAGCAGAACACAGTAAGAAATGTCACCGACAGTAGTCCGGACAAAGATCGGACGTACGGTTGGACACGACTGCTATATCATGGGTTCATTTTATACGCCTCGTGAAAAGAATGTACAGTAAGTTCCCAATCCTAATTACTCAGCAATGTTCTATTATTTTTAATAATGTTCCCAATGATGTTCCCCCAAATTATCGGAAGTGCCCGTAAGACGTACAAAACAATGAAACAGCCGATTTATTATGGCAATAAAATGAACATATTTCAGCCTATAATCCGTTATCTTGCCCCCACAAAATATTAGAGACGTTGCTCGATTCATATTGTAGTCTTCCTATATGGTAGATGGAGGCAGTATGTTCCTTCGAAACATTAGTATCACCTACTAAAAGACACCGTGAATTTTGCTGATCATTTGTAATTTGTTATTCCATCAGATACCGTATCTTACAACCACACAAAATATCGGACAAAATAACTGTGTTGTATATATTTTATTGTACCTTTGGAAAGCAAAAGAAACATGGGATTTGAGGTTTTTGCGAGAGAGAAAGTTTAAACTGTGCACTATCCATTAAAGACTCCTTCATACCCAATAATGTCAAAATACAAAAAAAAAAAAATATAAAAATAAATAAACTGGATGATAAATCCTTTCCGAATTTATTATTCTGCTGAATTCATGACGAACCTTCAGCAATGCATAACACGAAATTTTAAAGGAGATGCGCAATGGGACAAGTAGCACACTTACACTGGATAGAGAGATTTGGGCACGCTGCTTACTCTCAATTACCAATTGTATTCCGGTAATTAATACTCTCACTTAGTTGTAGCAGTGAATCGGATGAGACTAAGTCCCTTTGTACTGTGGCCTCAAACGGGCCTATTGTACCAGCCCTTGATGACAGATGTGTATGGAGCATTAGCGGAACGACAACTGACAGGAGAAAACCAAGGCGTTTGGAAAAGCGCCTGTCCCGGTGCCACAAATCTCACACCCACTATCTGGATTTAAAGAGGGCCTATGCGTTGAGAAGCGGGCGACTAACCATCTGAGCTAAGCACAACAGATCACTGTAGGTCGCGGTGGAAGCGACGAGAAGGCCCGCCCTTTATACATTTATTCAACCATCTGCGCTATGCCACGGCCAAGCAAGACTCTTAGAACCGTTTAAAGAGACTGGTCTGCTTCACTTATATACCTTTACATCATTCATATGTACACGAATAAGCAGCAACGTCCATCGCGTGTAACAAGACCTCCCGGTCTAGAAATCGGAAATTAACGGCCGTGGGGATTCGTTGAACTGACCACGCGACACCCTCTATCCGGTAAAGTTGGCACTAACTTCGCCGACAAGTGGCGGTCGCTCGGTCGGTATAGTTCCCTTTCGGACTAAAAAAATTGAGTTTTTTTTAGTCATACGTACCTCACCGTCAATTCTAGAATTACGAATTAAAGCACTGTTTCCTTACAGAACGAAGTTAAATTAATCTGGTATAAATGACAGTTTCACAGTTGAGTGAACATCACTTCTACCGCTAAGCAAACTGACCTTCACGGGGGAAAATTCTCGATTTCAAACCAAACGCTACAGCCTGTAAACTAGATCACAACTTCACTTTCCGGAACGGCAAGCACAAGATCGTTTAAACTAAAATTATGTGTAAGTTTATCATTCTTAACTAAATTCCTGTTTACTCACTCATCGTAACAGACATTTCTTCTAGGTACCGTGTCTAAACCGCTTCGACCCAACTTCGAGACACAGTCTACGCCTTAAATTAATCTTTTAATTCTCATAGTGGCGGTGGAGTCCATCTGGGTCCACTCGGCAGGTCGGCCTTCTGTACCTGCCCCGGGTGATTATGATAGAGAATTTGGTGGGATGAAGAATGGCAGGGGAAACCGAAGCACTCGGAGAAAACCTGCCCCAGCGCCACTCTGTCCACCACAAATCCCACTTGAACAGACCCGGGCTCGAACCTGGGCCGCCGCTGTGGGAAGCCAGCGACTAACAGCTTGAGCTATCGCGCTGCCTACGCCGTAATTACAATTAAATGAGCCACGTGCCGGCCAGGATCTGAACACAGGATCCAGCTCAGTTCACTGTACCTCTGTCATTAGAATTTAGAGAAAAGAAAATTCAGTTCTTCAGTTTCCGAACTAAGAAAGTTTATCTCATATTTTCAACATATTCTAAATTCTGTGTGTCATATTTTCAGGTCACGGACGTTTGATATTAATGGGGCACTCAGCCTCTTAAACACTTGGTACATGTATAAGTTTTGGCGTTAGTCTCGCCAACCCCCCCCCCTTTTTTCTTTTGATAAACAAGGCAGGAAATGTATGCACAGTGCATTCGCTCACTGTTGTCTCGAAAGTGGCAACAAAATTTTCCGACAGCTGTATTCGAATCACGTCTTCCTCCCGCTCGTGACATACTGAGTCTTGATTTATAGAAAACTTCGAAATTTTCTCATAGGGTGTGTTTAGGACCTATGTGTTTCACATAATTTTCAGAATAGAGACGAATCCCTCAAGCAGTTCTGACCAACTGCTCATTGTTATGGGGACGCAGTGTGTTTTCTGTGAAGTAGAAACTGCACTTCTAAACACTGTTTTCATGAATTCCAGGCTTCTAAGGGCTAATGATAACATAATGACCTACTATATTACTTCAACAGTGTCGGACCAAAAGAAAACATAATGAGCTATGCTACTTCAACAATGTCAGACAAAAGGTGAACATAATGCGCTATACT